AACACAAAATGGTTATGAGGTTGGTCCCAGGGACCGAGCCCATGCTGAATGAGTTAAGGACACCAGGGGGGCCAGTTGGTCTGTTGAGGCTATTCTATTGACTAATTAAGATAAAAAAAACAACAAATTTTTTTATTTTGCATATGAAAGCATTGTAATGTTTACTGATAATGTACCAAATTTCGTTAACATTTGCTTAATAATTTAAAAGCTACAGCATGAAAACTGTAACAAGCACAAAATTGTTACGAGGTCGGTCCCAGGGACTGAGCACGTGCTGAAAGAATTAATGTAAATACATTTGTAATGTGGCAGTTCTTCCTGATTATGGAGACATCAGATAATCAAATCAATCACTTTGAATACAACTGACACTACTAATAGCGTGTGCTATTGATTGATAAATGTAAGGGTGGGCATGCAACTGGTAAACAAAATGCAACTGGATGTACAATAAACTTATCAGTTATTTTATATGTCATCAAGAATTAAACAAATTGCATAATCAAAGTGCCATACTATATCATTACCTTCACATAAATAATTGTATTCAAATCAATGACTTACTTATAGAATATACAAAATACGTAGTACATATATTGCTTTCCTGTATAAACAAACTTCATGTTTTCATGATAGTGCTATTTCTATACATCTTCATTTTGAAGCACTGTGACTTGATAAAATTGTAGCATAAATCACTCTAATGACCTATCGATATCTGTTAATAATTTATATGGACATTCCTATTGGGAAATCAATCTTAAACAAACTTTTGCAAACTGGCATCCACTGCGAGTGCAGGTGTTTTGTGGTCAGTAATTATTACCTTCTTTCCTGTTATTATCCATCCCTACTTAACTCTCTTGGAGTGGTGTGGATTAGTGAATAACTTATCCATAGTAAATGTATATTCCACATTTTTTCTAATCTTTAGGATTTATATACATCAGTACATCCTTGTAATGCTCTTCTTTTGTCATTTTTACCAATCTTTTAAAAACAAATTCTAACAAATGAACTACATAAACACGCTTACCAATAGTGTCCCGTGAACTTTCTGAGCATCAGCTTTGACTTGGGCACTGATATATGTACAATCTTCTAAAGCAGTTGTAAGGTGAGGCCAATAGTATGCCAGATGTGGATAGATTCTCTCTCTTATTGACTGGAAATATGATACAAAAAACATCAATTACAATGCATTACTTTATACACTGTATATTATAAAAATTAAAACAAGTTTTGTTGGGCTCAAAAGTATTTTACATGACTGCTGAGTGGAAAATAATGTGGACTCTACACACTGTGATAATATTTAGTTGGATCCATGGTATCTCATGCATAATGATCAACAGGGTTGATTTACCCCAAAACATTTAACACATTATTTGGATTTTTTTTTAACTTACAACAAAAATTTACTAACTATTATAAAGTAAATGACTTAATAAATAACAAGTTATTCTCAAATATAACTGAAGGTCAGTGAATGGATGCAATACAGTTACACCACCCATGCTACTCGAACCAAAAAAAAAAGACAAAATTCACAGACCTGATAATCACTGTTCAAAATAATATTTTAACAAACAAATAAAATTCCTTACTGAGAAATAAAAGTATACTACTGTTCTTGTGAATGTTCAAATTTGTAAAGATGGTTTCATTTGTAAACCTCATGTGGCCACAAGATTGAAAAATGCAAATATTAAAATAATTTCTTTCTCTGAATGTTGACTCTCATTCAAACAAACAAAAAAAAGGTAGAGCTTTCAATAATTGCAAAACAAAAAATGCTTCTTAAATCATGACATATTTCTAGAAAGCAAGTTTAACACACACACAAATTTACCAAACATAATTATCTTTCATAACACAGCCAAATTTATCATACTGGAACATTAAATCATCATACTTGAGAGTATATAATTGATATCATTCAATATAGTAGGAGACTTTAAAAGAATGTCCTCCTTTTTAACCTTAATTAATAGCTAAACTGGCAAGTTTGTAGAAGAAACAAAACTTTTCTCACCTTAATACCAAGAGCAGCAACAGCTACTACTGCTCCATAGTGAGAACAAAAAGGTTTTGTCAAGTCCTTGAAGGAATCTTCTAAGGTTGATAGTACTTCATCTTTCAAGTTATTTACAGGTGTAGACCACTCTCTGTAACAAATATCAAGCATCTATTGACAAGCACAGATGCTACTATTCTTACATGATGGTTAACTTAACCTTATATAATAGAATAACAATGGAATATATTTAAAAAACTTAAATCTTCTGATTTACATACATCAATATAAAATTACAAATACAACTTTAATTTGAAACACATTTTGATAATTTGTGCAAACAAAGTTCTTAATAACCCCCCTATTTGAAAATTTTACATTCTGCAGGTAATAACAACAAATGGATTGTGCTATCACTTCTATTAACCAGTTTTCATCACACAAGCTTTCAATAAAAGTTGCTCATGTACAATTACTTTTTATTTTAAACTTAAGATATTTGTATTTTGGTATTTAGTGGTGATTAATTATGTAAGTTTCAGGAAGCTGCATCAATTACTTATTACATTATTTCTACTACACTTCACCAGTGTATTGAATCAACATACCTATTTGTTTGCATTATCTCTACTGCATTTCACTACTATATAATATAAACTTATTTAACTGTTAGATGACAGAGGTGATTGTAGGAGGATTTTACGCTCTTTGGTATATACAGTACACTACTTAAACATTACTTTATCAATTAAAAATTAAATACAATTTGAATGGTCACTTAAACAATAAATCATTCACTTAAAAATACACTAAATTATTAATTTAGAAATTAAATATTAATTTATTTACATTTATTTAATTACTGTCTGTGATTTAATTTAATCACTGTCTGAAGGTATCAACTGTCGTGGGGTTTTGGGGTAATGCAAAGGAAGCTGGCACTACTAGGATTGGTGTCTGAGAAATAGTATCCAGATGCTGGAGGCAGACCTATGGAGGCTTCACTACTGGTGGAAGGAAGATTTTGTCTGTTTTTTTTTGTTTTTTGTTTTACAGGGGTTTAAAAAAGTCAGATATTTCTCCCTGTATGTAATTGCTGTGCTGATGCTTGATGACATCTGCTCTGATATCTCTCAAAGTTGCATAGTGCTGTTCCAAATCAGGCAACCGCTCAACTGCCTCCAAGGCATTGTCCAAGTATAACCGAAGATCTGATAACTTGGGCTTTGGAGTGGGGTCTTCATCTTCACTGTCATCACTTGGCTCTTCTGCAAACATGAACATGACCTTGATAAAGCCCTCATAGCCCTCAAGCTCCTACAAAGAGGGATAGGCAGGGGCAGAGGCATTGTAAGGCAGAAGGAAGGCCTTCTCATTGTCTCTCACAACACCCAAAAAAATCTGTCTGGTACTTGATCATGGCAAGTACAAAATGGCTGTGGCACCAATGGTGGAACAGCTCTTGAGTAAACCAGGCAGTTTTATTCCCCCGAAAGATCACTGGTAAGCTGTTCATAATGTTCTTGAGTGTCCTCAGTTTCCTTGTCTTGCCCACAATATTTGTTGCAGCCTGTAGGTGTCATCCGCATTTGGACAGCAGAGAATGAGGATTCAATCCTTTGCCATCTTCCTACCAAGTATGTGAGACTCGTACCTAGCAGCCTGTGTGTTGGTAGGCACAGCCTTCCAGAAGAGGCCAATTTCATCTCCATTGTATATCTGGGCCATGAGGAGTTGAGTGTGACAAATGTAACACATTTTCTCTAGATATATTCTCCTCTGTATTTAATCCACCATCCCCCCTTAAAATCTTGAAATTTAATGTAAATTACTCAATATAAAATTGTCATTGCTCAGACAAACCATAATTTTTATAGTCATCAATTTTGTTTGGTTACAGAACTATCAAATAGAAAATCAGACCTCTTCAGTCACATACTCTCTTTTCAGGATTCCTTAATAGTTCTCTCTTACTTTTAATTATATATCATCTACAACTAATAGAAAGTCAATGTCTGTGTCCATCAAATGATGTGATACATTACATTGTGCTCTGAACAGATACATGTATATTTCTCTTATTATAAACAAAATTTTCCCATGAGAAAGTTAGCCATTTGCTTGTGAGAATTTGTAAGGATTCTTCTCGCATAGTTAGAAAGCCTGAATATTTTTCAGGGATGCCGAGTTATATCAAATTCCGAGTTCTCAAGGGATTATTGTATTTCAATACTGTGCAATATAAACAAATACTTACAATGTATATTTATGGTTTCAACATTAAGCCTAACATACATAGCCAGTGAAAAACATTCTAAGCCCAGGAGCAGAAAAAGTTAAACCACCATAGCTGCTACTATGAATTTTAGTTAACCATTTTTCAGGCTTACATTAGCAAATGTTAGAAACAGATATCATGCAATCATGAACAAAACCCAATGTACTGAATAATTTATTTTATGTCAAATAGAAAGAAAGTTACAAGATATTCTAATTTTGGTTATAAACCTTGATGTAATACATCAATTGGAATCATACTGAAATACACAAAATTTAAACAGTATTTTAAAAACAAAAAATGAAAAACTTAAAACAAATTATCAATATATTTTCAAGTGTATATTAAACTACTTGTATTCTCTTGGATATCATATCTGATAAATTCCGTAACAAAGTTGTTCAATAATTATTTTGGAATATTTAAAAATACTAGAAGGAAAAAACATCAATGATTTTTTGTTTTATATGGTAAGTATATAAATTCTTATACTAATCATGCATAGCATCTTTTATGAACAAAGATGTTTACTGGTAATAATGAGCTTCTCAACTCTTACCATTGAAACATTATTTACACTGATGAGAAACTCTGTCAAACTTTGTGTGTAACAAAATGTTCACCACACTTTGGAAGAATGCATGCAGCTACATGTATAATAGACTTTGTCTTTCTTCCTAAACAATGGATATTGCTTATCATAAAAGCCTGTGCTCTTTTTCTTTTTTCCTATAGATAAATCAAAACTCACCCCAAACAACAAGAAATACAAACGAGTATACTCTGTAAAATTAGCCATATATCATACAATTTACACATACACTACATCATCTTTTTCTGAGCTTGTTTTTTAATGACAGTAACTCCATTTTAATATTTTTAAAATTCATCCAGTCAGCCAACAATTGAATGAAAAATAACAAACATACCTAAATTTGTAAATATCACCATGTTACATTGCAGAATAAATAGAGTGGGTTTAGACATTTCACAGCACATTACATTTTTACTCAAATTACTATGATTGTATAAACCTACAGCAGATACATTAAAAATTACTTTTTTATTTACCTATAACAGTAAATTCCAGCAGTAATACACAAAAAAATAGATTTATGTTCACCCATAACAGTGGGAAAACTTCAACAGTAGATACATAAAATGTAGTTTTGTTTGTCTATGAAAGTGGAAAATTCCAGCAGTAGTACACAAAAATTATTTTTTTATTCCTTATGACAGAAGAAACCTTCAGCAGGAGGTATATAAAAATAGTTTTATGTTCACCTATAACAGTGGGAAACTGCAGCAATAGATACATAATAAATTAGTTTTATATTTTGCTGTACACATTATGAGTCCTGTACCTTTTAAAGCTTTTTGGATTTTGAAATATAACAAATTCATTATTTTGTTACAACATATTGGTTTTTCCACTACCATTTTTCTACTTTGTATCTTTTAATTATACTTTAGTAATAAAATGTACAGAATATCAAAATGTAACTGCATAATTCATATGGACATAATGGTTCTAAATATGTTGAAAATTTTCATTCTGATGAACAACAAATCATAAATATGTTTTTCCTTAAACATAAATGGTACTTATTATATGTTGGCTTCACTGGGCTTATATTCACTAATGTTACTTCTGTCTTGTCCATACAGACACCATTCTTGTTTTTATATATATCTAACCACTTAAAACAACAATAATACTTAAATAAAAAATGGTTTAAAAAAGAAAATAATTTAATTTGCACGAGTTTCCAATACCTCAATGATATATAAAACCATTATATGTTTTTAGTTTTTACGAGAACTGTCAATCTTCTGTATAAATGCATATTGTGTAGGTGTACTTTCCTAACTTGAGCACTAATATGTGCAAATATAATAGAAAAAAATAATAATAATTTTTATCTTTCTTCCATTCAATATATTTTGTAAATTGCAACTTAATACACCAGCTTAAATGAAAGGTTTTTAGCATTCACTATGACTTACCTTATGATTCGAGCTAGTAACTGGGCTGCAGTGTCCCTAAGAGTCCAGTGATCATTGATTGGATTGATAGATGCAGCTAGAGGTTCTAAAATACAATACAACACTGCCTCCACTAGCAGATGAAGCTGTAGAAAAGTTCACATCAGATTACAAAAAACAGAGAACAAGAACACAGGAACTAACACACACATTTTCCAGTACATTGAAGTTACAAACACACGTTGATTTCTCTAAATCTTTCCTACTTTTGTATTCATAAGATGTCTGGTTTTGTTTTCTTTTAACTCATATAGATAAGTTCTGGCATGGTTAGGAAGGCAAACAATGTATCAATAATGACGAGAAAAGAAATGCTATATAGAATATACCACTTTTTTAGTACTGTTTTTACTTCCATATGGATACTCTTTTGATTTAAACCAATTTAATACATTGAATACATATTTAATCACAATTTAAACTTTGTTTGGTACTTCTGTTGAAAGTACACACATAAATAAATTTATATGCATAATAACTGATCAATTTGAGGTCTTTCTCACTGTTCAGTTACGTAATTATGTATTTGACACCTGGGAAAGATCAAATATGGTAAGAACAGTAACTTATACTGTATTATGACTTTTTTAATAGAATATTACCTTAGAAAAATGATGTTCAAATCTGCTAATTGAAGCTTAAACAGTAGTGCCATATTTAGCTAAGTAACATGCTTTGTTAAATCAGATTACGTATCATCACTTGCAAAAATAAAATAGTAACATATTCTTGTATAATCAAGACAGCAAAATTTGGTTATGCTCACTTCACACATTTCTGATGTGATGAAAGAAAGAATTGAATTGTAAATTCAGGAAATACTATCTTTCACTTGTTATCACTGGACTGGAATAGTATCACTTACATCCCCAATTTCTTTCCTATTCATAGTGGAAATACTTGGGTTTGTATTTTTATTTTATAGCTACAGCCAAACTATTAAGGTTATCTGCCATTGTTCCTAATTTTAACCTCTAGACAAAAAGGAATGCAATTATTCAGCAGCATTTTTAATACTAACCACCGGTGTTAAGGGCTAGATTAACAGTCTTATAATGTAACCACAGGTTAAAGTGCAGGAAATATTTTATGATACTCAATGGATCTGAGCCAATTTTCTAGCTCTGAAATCTAGAGCTCTATCACAGGACCAAACCACACCCTGTGAACATACCAACTGAAATTGCATGAAACTTGCTATATATATTTACTGTTTAGTATCTAGTTTCTGGTTCACAAAATTTGATTCAATATTTTCTTAATTACTTAGGTTAAGAAACTTCCAAAATTTTGTTGTGAGACACTGTTTTGGAAGAAAAAGAAGAAAAAAATTTTCATCTTAGAATTTTAATTTTTGACCAGGAAGTTAATTTTATGCATAAATTTGATTGATATTCATTAAGATATTTCTTTTGATATTTTATTTTTGAGATCGCAGTAATTACCATTTTCAGCTATAAATTATTAAAAATATGGCAAAAATTGACAATGATTTATCAGTGACCTAAAAAGTCCTTTTTCACAATGTTTTTTACTAACAATATTCTTTATCAAGATAAAAACTAAAAATTACAGTTTCTTTTTAACAAATAAAAGTTATTTTATTTATTGCATTGTTTGAATAAGATAAACTTAGTAATAATCTAAGTCATTATTTGACAAAATCTGCATGTATGTCTACTTATAACTGACAAAACATTGGACTTGCCCCCAAACGTAATTACTCCTAAAACCCCCTTGGGAGTGACACAAGTACATTGGTATTCACACCTGACTCCCCTATGTCACTCTCTCTCTCCACGAGCTCCTATATCTTCTCTCTGTGTTTTGTCTGCTTAAAACTATTATTATTTTTACTTTAATTTAAAATTTTGATATGCAGGTGAATATTCTACACCTGCAAAATACTCACTAGTTGCAGTAGGGTTAAAGCAATGGATTTTAACACATTCTTTATCATTAAGAGCTCATGCACATGTTAATAAAGTAATGTCATTTTAGTTTTCTTCCCATTGATTACATACTGTGTGGAAAGGTCTTAAAGTATAGAGGGGTATTTTGTGTTTAAAAATTATAGAAAGGTATTTAGTGGTTAAAAGGTATAAAAGGGTATTTAATGCTCAAGGTTACCTGAGATCAGCCAAATATAAGAGTGGATCTTTGAATAAATTGATCAAAACTTTTGAAATTCTTAACACTAAGAAATTACACAGATAAATCTTACTTTGGTAAAACTACTGATTTTTTTTTCTTTTCTTCTAATTAAATGTTCTATTCCTACCACAACAATGACAGGCTTATTTATAGAATTTTTTTTTCTCTTCAAACCTACCATTTCAATGCTATACAGTGGGTTATATGCTCTACCCACTGCAAGTATCACAACTCAATTTTAATAATCCTTCAAACTTACTGCTGAGCCATCGACAAAAGGGGAATAAATTAAATTATCATTGCACAAATGTAAAAAGCATTTTATTCTTTGGCACACATTTCAACTTACAGAATTTCATTACCAATATGACTGGTAAATATCCAGCAACCAGAGTCACGTTTATAGTTCATACCTAACCTACCACCATTAATCTCTATTGCAGTATTATGGCACAATTTTGGAAGTTTAACAAATGTCATCGCACCTTTAATAATTAGAAGTATAGTGCATAAGAAAATAAAAGATGGAATAAATTTTTCTTCTTACTTTCAATCACTATAACAATTTCTTAATCCAACCAAACAAAGAATTTAGAACAGCAAGATGGATCAGGCAGCAGAATGTTAAAAAAAAGGTTCAGTTTTTATATTTGCAGAATACTGGTTCCTTCATGCATAAATACATTTTTTTCATGAACATTTATGTAGTCTCTAAATACCTTAAAGTTCTTTTTTCTACTTACTTTAAGTGTACTGTATTAAAAAAAAAGAGGAAAATAGTAAGGGGATGTCTATAGTTTAAAATTTTTGAAATTTACAAGTTTAATAACACACTTAGCATATCATTCTGTAGTTTAAAAAAAACTGAAACATCACTGTTGAAATCTTTTTTTTTTCTTGAGGAAAAATCTTAAAGATTTTTTAAAAATCATGTTACTTACATATGGCTTTGGGCCCAAATATAAAGAATGGTTACTGACCAAGGCACGGACCGTGTGTAAAAGCTTACTCAGCTGAATAAGATCATGGCTTAATTTCTTGACCTGTGAAATAAGCAGAACATAAATGATAAAGTAGGACTACCTAATCATATCCCTATTTCCAGACATTGGCTAGGTACATCTCATTTGTACATAAAATGATGTTTAATTCAAAAAGTAAATAGTGTTTTACCAAATCTACTTTATATTTATTACACAAATAAGAAAAACTGATGTGACAGAAAACACAACACATGGAAATAGAAGTTTTAGCCATACAATTAAAAATGAAAAAGCCCAATTTCAATTAACATTTAAAACTAATTCTAAAACACAATCATATTTGCTTTTTATAATTACTAATACAATGCCCAGTTTATCTAAACAATGGTCTTCATACACTTAAAAGAGTAATAAGAATTTTTTTCAGTTGATGTACATGAGATTACTTTTTCACTATGCAAGTAACCAAACATATGCCAACAGTTTAATCATGTTTTTAACTACCATTGTTCTGTAACTGTCAGAGTTTACAAAATGCACATGCAATAAAGAAATAAATAGTAGATTACCTTAAAATATGACTTAGTGGCTAAACTAAAAAAGTTTACTATTCCAAAATGTGTAATCTACATAAAGTGGTCATCAGTAGTTACAACAGTTTGTTAAATTAAATTAACAGGACCTTATATAGTGTTAAAACTTTTATTTACTGCAAGCTTCCAACCACTCTTGGAATGCATGCTTACAACCTAAAATTCATTAACTCACATAATAAGTCTTAGATAATTAAAATTACAGTTATTTAGAAAATATGTCAAACTGGTGTTCACAAAGAATAAACCCTCATGCTGGAGTAGAAAGTACAGTGAAACATTACAACAACACTGCATGGACACCTGTTTTGTTGCACTATAGATGTTCATTATTTTGGAGAAAACTGCTAAGAATTTACAACTTTAATAAATGTATTCATATCTTTTAAATGTCATTTACTGGTTTATAAAAATTTGGAATGATATATATACTAGTTATATAAGCAAACCCAATCCTTCCCTCTTGCAAAAGTGACACACTGTCTTATACGATAGCTCTAGAACCTTTTCACCTTTCATTATTTCTGAGAAAACAAAAACTATTCAACAGTATGGCAGATCTAGGAACAGTTTAATAATGGTAACTCACAGGCCTAGTTTTTTCTGGTCATAGGATGTTTTTTATAATATTTTATAAAAAGTTAAATCAAAAATAAGCAGGATTTAAATAAAATCTGTATAATTAACAGGTCACATATGCTGCCACTCTCAGTACTGGAATCAGTTTGAATTTAAATGATGTTATATTTTAGTTTTGCATCTTTCAGGTAACTGCAAGTTTCAAAACTAACATTCTATACTAAGGACTTATTAACCCAATGTACTCATGTGGGTTCATGGAACCAACAAGCCCTTATTGGAGAAGTAATCTTCAATATAATTCTGAAATTACTATGTATATTTTAACAAAATGTAACAAGCTTTTAGTAAAATATACAAGTTTGTTGTACACAAAAAATCAGATGTGTTAAAAAAGTATCTGTATTCAAGATATGTCTGAGTCTGAGTCAGACTCTGAGAAATCAGAATGAAGACGACATTCATGTGAAGAATAAAAATATGTTTGTCCGTCATACAGTTTATATATTGTACTTGCATAACCCCTAGAACTTACAAAATTCATATTTATAGCATCCCTGTATACTGTTTCTAATATTTACTCTCCTCTACCAAGAAATGTCACTATATTAACAATGTAGGATCAAAGGAATAGTAATAACTCTGACATCAGATATACAATACCATGATGAACAGTACTCTGTAAAAGGTCATAAAATACACACTTAGACTCCCCCCACCAGTGCATGTGGAGTTAAATTATGTTTATGAAAAGAAAAATCCAAATTACCAAAAAACTTATCAAATGTGAATGTCGTGTCTCAAAAAGATCCCAACAATAAGAAACAATTTTCTCAAACTTCAATTAGTGTTCATTTCAAATATTTTAAATTATGTAATATTTTTCTTCTGGTTTTCTCCGCTCTTTCATTAAAATACATTCATAGCTTACATAATATCCTTGTTATAATAGTTTCAAACTATCAATAGTTATATCTTGCTTATATTTTATCATATTGTAGATATATTATGTAAAATAATCTGGGATTATAAATCTAATATTTCTTACAACTCTTTCTAATACTAACTTTTTCTCTCAAAAACTTAATTGTTTACTGTGGTGCATGATACGTCACTAGGCCTAAGAAATAACTGCTAGCACTGATCAATCACAACAGGTACAAACCAAAGACACAGGAGGTGTTTAGTTAAATCTGAATACTGAAAGACATCAGTTAATATAGCATATGATTCTACATTACTTTAAAACTTGGAGCTAAAGGTATAACAAGAAAAGCATTTTTATGTCTGACTATTTGAAACAAAAGCTGCATATGAGATTGTAGCACTTCACACAAAAAGAAAATGATTCTCCTTCTGCACATCAGTAACTTACAAAACTACAAGTGGAAGGTCATACTTACACCAATACAAACAAAGTTAACCAAGTAGGGTAACAGTGGAGCAATTCTTGCATTCCTTCTTATGTCATCTATTGCCAGCTAGAAAAAAAAAGTTTTACATTTACGCAATTTGTCTAAGAATAAAGTTAGTAAATACTTTATCATTAAACAAAATGTGTTTAAATATAGACAGATGTTCACATATGAATGCATGCAAGTTTAATCCTAATACAAACCTTTTCTTTATATGTAAAAATAATAATAATACTATTTTAGAAAAGAATGCAAAAGAAGTTCATAAACTTTTACACAGTTCATTTCTAAGTTTGTCTTTCATGAATACACAAGTACTAATGTCATCTGTATTTTTTCCTGCCTCAGTATTTTTTTTTGGAATTGATATTTTCAGCCTGAATGGCACCTTATACACATAGGGCTTATCAACCAATTTACATCTCCCTTATGGTTCGAGTAAATAGAAGAGCTTAAGCAGCACCTCCTGCCAAAAGAATTTTATCCAGCTTTGACCCAAATAAAGGGGTTGACTGTCACTCTTACATTGCACCTACAGCTGAAAGCACAGAGTATGTTCAATGGTATCACAGTTAGAGCTGGGCAAATAACTTGGTTACATTATTAACTCTCTCAACACAGGCTCGGTCCATTTGACTGACCACGCGATCTCTTTGTATTCGTGTAAAGTCTTGTTACTACTAACTTTTAATATAGTATGTATGTATATCTTCACAAAATTTGGCAGACTTTCACACATAAAAATACTTTTTTAGTGAAGTAATTTTAATAAACTAAAAAAATATTCTTTTTGACTAGTCCTTGTGCAAAGTGATTTTTGTGTTAAGATTAAAAACACTTTTCTTCATCTCAAAGAATTTCAAATCTGTGTAATCTCTACAACTTCCTAAATACATTTCAAAAGTTTGTTTTCACTAAAACTTTATATTTTGTCTGTTATTTCTCTACTCTAACTCTATACAAGGTTGGTCAATTTGACCAGCCTCATAACCACCAAAAAAAAAATCTAAATAAATCTAGATTACCATTTTTTCTTTCTAAAATGACTTTAAATTGTAACATGAAATTACATTAATTTATCCTAAGTAGCTTTAAACTCATAACAGTATAATATATTTATACTTAAATTTTATTGTTTTATTGCCCTTTGAACCATGGCCAACTAATATTCTCACCATAAGTTGAAAATCACTTGGGGAACATGCAGCTCACATTACTCTATCAAATTACATTACCCACAAGCTGCTCTGAGCTGCTCATGTGTATGTCTTGTGAATATTTATATTTATATTATTATTAATAATATTTATTTTACCTAATCTAACCTTAAATAACTTAAAGAGATCCCTATTTTTACATTTTATTTATTTTTTTCATAATAAATATAGAATAAACATGAAAAATAAGAAATCAAGTACTCACCT